TTACAGTATGATTTAAAGAAACAGGTACAACATTGTTACATGATTTATATATTGCCAACCCAACCGTTAGATTATATTCCTAACACCCATGTTGGCTTTTGGTTATTACTTTGTTTACTTCTAGGTATTCGCTAGCTAGTTGCTTGGTTATCTTTTCCAGTATCTTTCCTGGTATTGAGGTCAGGCTGATAGGTCTGTAGTTTTCTGGATGTATTTTTTCCCCTTTTTTCAAGATGAGAACCACATCAGTTCTTTTCCAGTCCTCTGGCAGTTCCCCAATGCTTCATATGCATGGAAAGATGGCTCTGCCAGTCATCATCTTAAGTATTGCAACTAGCACTAAGTACAATTTAAAATTGAAAGCATAGCTCATTTTTAAAGAACGGCCAGCTAAGAATACACAAAGCAGCAGCATAATTTATAAAAATTATATGTTCTTTAATTTTAAACCTTGGTTTATCAAAGCAACCACACATGGACATTCATTGAAACTTGCTTTACAGTCCCTTGCCCACTTCCCTGAGCAGGTAAGTTCCAAGATCTGGATGCCACCAGGTTAAAACGACGTACTATTAAATTGCCCATTTGAGATAGGCTGACAATGTAAGTACTTTGAAGGTCAAGTCCCATCCTAGCCCAGTATTTTGTTTCTCATCAGCCAAATGTTTCTGGAATGCCGATAACCAGATGATATAAGGGGACATCTTTCCCATTCATTGGTCTCCTGACAATATTCAGAAATAAATTGGTGACTTGGGGACCAATAGCCTTTGCTCATCTTGTCCTCCATTAATTTTTCCATTCCAGAGCCATTTAAGTTAGTGACCATCACATCTTGTTGTAATAAATGCAACAGGATACTTATGTTCTGTATGATGTATTCTCCTTACTAGTTTCATTGGTTTACCAATGACCCTGAAGACTGCAGGGTTTTATAGAACTTGATCATGTCCCTTCTTTCCTTTTTAATCTGTTCTTAGTCTCAAAAGGTAAATATTTGATAAATATTTTGTTTTCCTTTGCTTACTTTTTTTTGCAGTTGTAGCATTTCTGCCCCAAGCATTGTCACCGGAACTGTACAGTATCCCATATACTGAATGTACAGTATATAGGCATACTTTATTGGTGAGTTTATTTTCAATTCTTTTCTTAATGATTACTAACATGAAATTTGCTTTTTGGCAGCTGCCAAACACCATCATCAAGCTAGTCATCATGACCCACAAATAATAAAGTTAATTTGTCCCAGTGTGCATTATTTTACACCCACATGAACTGAACTGCAAGTTTTGTTTGGCTGACCAGTTCTCAGTCTAAAATATCCTTCTGGAGTTCTTCATATATGACTTTTCACTATTCTGAATAATTTAATATAATCCATAAACTTGCCTTACTACTTGCTTACCCTGAATCAAGACTGGTCCCAGTAATTTTGGATTCTTGAAGGACTTTATTTCGAATTTCCTTTCATTGAGAAAACTTAATACCAGTATTTATTCCTATTCTATTTTTTCTTAACTAGTTAACAAAATACTCTAGAAGACTGGTAGACAGGATTTACCCTTGCAGAATCCATAATGATTTTCTTTCATTAAGGCTTATTGTTCCACAGACCTTTTTAAAAAAATTCTTTCTACAAATCCACACAGAACAGACATAATACCCGCCTGAAATTTTCTGGATCTTCCCTAACATCTGCTTTTAAAAATTGGTGTTGTGCTGGCTACTTTCCAGTGTTTTTGCAGGTAACTTTTTACTAAAATATTCTGTTGGAAGCCATGAAGCCTACCTTATTTGGCTTTTTAATTGTACAATTTCTCAATATATGCTAAAAATATCTTTTCATTATCCTAGTTTATTAAGTTGTTCCAATTGCCTCCTTGAGAAAATCTACCTATTCATGACATCCTTTGTTGGGTGGAAATTGCAATCTTTGCCCCAGGCAGCCAAATCACCGTAAAAATCTATGCCTGTCACCATTTTTCTCAGCACTTCTAAAGATCGCAGCTAAAAGATCTTTGCCCCCATGGAAGGAATATCTGCAAATGATGACATGGGTTCCTTATTCAACATCTGGATCCTTCTTTGGGAACCTTTGATTCACCCTCAACGTGCCCTTTCCTCAAAACCTTTATTCTGCCTGAAAACAACTGACATTCTGGACTTTGGATTAAACTATCACAACCTACTTGCAGCTATCTTGATTTGAAGAGTTGGGAGCTCATTGTACCGAGTACAAACTCACAAATTATGTCTAATAGCCAGATACTTGTACTTTAATATGCAACAACCAGTAACCCCCACTGGTCTTCTTTCATACCAATTATTAGTAATGTTTAGCTTTCTTACTCTTTAGGAACTTTGTAATGTAAAAGATGGCCAATATTGTATGAGCTGAAGCTCATACTTCTTTCAGTCAGTACTACGTTTGCCTTGATGTTTGTCTGTTTACTCTTCCCCTTTTCACTTGTTGACAATGTTCCACTTCAGTCAGCATTTTCTTGTAGCAAACCTTGATTAGGAATGACAATTTCAAAGAATAAGCCTCTTCAGCCAGTCAGTTCATAGAATTTCTTAGAAAGAACGTTAAAGTAATATCACAAGAATTCTAGCAAGTCCTCTAATCTCAAATGAGTGATCTATTCATAGCAAAGAGAGGCAGCAAGGTTTGGAGATTTATTCCCATTTTTCCAATGTAAAGGGGAAAAAGCAGCTCATCTCTTTCGTTAAGGTGTAGCAGTCTAAACCTGCAGTTTTGGTCTAGATTACATCACCAATCTGAGACTAGCTCTTCTATCTTGTTCCTATTTGAACTCCTTTTGCTGGCTCTGGTTGTGTACCCAGCACAGTCAGGGGAAGTATATAACGTCATTTCATTAGTCACAATTCTTATTCACACTTGATCTGATCTACAGTCCTTCCCTCAAAAGCTATCCTGTTCAAATTTGCCCTCTATTCACTCCCTCTGACCACAAGCTGCCAATTACTTCTCCTCTTTCAATTCTTTCTAAAGAATAGCCTGTACAACTTAGATCTTAACACAGAAACCAAATACAGGTGGTTTCCTGCAACATGAAACGTGGAAAGCAACCTTGGAAGGGCTGTCAATGTTACCAAGAGCATTATGAGACAAAATGGACAGAATAGCTACATTAGTACAGATAATAGCACATTAGTACATATGAACAAGCATTAAGTGAACAATAAATTAGGGGTTCCTCAAGTATAAATTTGTGACTTTTCCATAAGATACTTTCCCACTGATTGAAGCCTTCATGTATCTAATTTTATTTGAAGCAGGACAGTGAATTTATCATTGATGCTGAGAACTTGTAAACTGTAGAAAATATTGTTTGAGTCAGTTAGAACTATTATGAAAAAATATATTTACTACGTAAATCATAGTAAAAGGAGTACAAATGCTATAGCCTAGCTTTTTTAACCAAACATCTTCTAGATATAGAACAGCCCCACAATATTTGAAGAGCATCAGTTTGGAGGAAATTGTTGTAACCAACCAATCCACACACACACACAGGCACATACTTTAATACATATGCTTTGTTATGTTTTTTTTTGGATAAACCATATTAATGGACTTCAATGAATGTGCTAATTAATGCATTCTGAGAAAAATGGGGTAACTTACAATAGTTAAGATTTTCTTTTCAAGTGAAAAGAAAAAAAAATATTTTGTTATTTTTTTCTTTATTAAGATGCCTATTTAGGGTTTCTGTATAGGCATAACACAATTTACCCATAATGCCCTTTGAAGAGATTCCTCTCTTTATTAAAAGACTGCTCTGCCATTCCTTGTCTAGGCATAATCTTGAAATCAGTTCATTCATACAAATGCATCCAGCAGATGTACAACGTTGCAAAATGTAATGCAGCACATATCCTAACACACGGTTTCTTTTGGATGACAAGCAGGACAAAAGAAGCTCCCGTTCTTACTTTTTAATAATTATACCATCCAAAACCCCAGCAAAAACTGCTTTAAAAAATAAAGCACCTGTAAAGACATTAAATACCATTTCAATAGGTCATTTAACAAACTTAAGAAAAATTCAATAGCCTTCATGGAATACGAAGAGAGAAGAAGAATCTAAAGGCAGGTTGAGAGAACTACGTACATCCCCCACTCAATTTTATTTTCATATCTTACAAAACAAAATGGGCAGTCATGCTGAGAAAAATAGCTTCTTGGTGTGGTGCTGCAAATGCAAACACTCCTCTTTCTCTAAAAGGCCTTATTAAAACCACCAAGGGAAGATCTGTGCTGTAAGCAGTCCAAGACTTTGCACTGTAACCAGAAGGCTTACTCTGCCTACACTCTGCAGCTAAGTGCCGCTGGATTTAACAAACATCATTTTATAGCCGCTCTTTGCATCTTTCTTGGCTTGCGGGTCTTCCGAGTTGCTGTGTTTTTCAGCAGATGGTGGGTCTTCGGCAACTTCGTCTTGCTCAGAGTCAGAATCGCTTTCAGAGTCTTCTGAACTTTCTGACCCCGAGGAATCTTGCACCTCCTCCTCTGGTGCTTCTTCTTTATCCTCGTCCAGCTAAAGAAAAGATTCAGAGAAAAAATTCTATGAGCTTGTTTTGTTTTTCACGTCCCTTTCTTTTGTGGTTTGCTTCCAATATCAATACATATAGAGAATAGCAGCCTGGTTGATATACTGTGGATGGTAATAGAAACTTAATCACAGGCATTTAACTTTAATCACCTCCTAGTGAAGTATTCTTTTAGGCTAGAGCAAAAGAAGCTTAATTTCACCATCTATATGGGGAAAAACCCCATGATGGCTATGGGGGATGATATGTGCTATATATGTCATGTAATGAAGAATTAACAGATTTGTGAAAGTTTGTCCTATTTAACCACTAGTCAATACAAAGTGAATTACAAAATACATGTACTGTACAAAGTGAAATAAGCAAAGAAGGATTCTTGAGCCACTGTCTCAGCCAAAGGAAGATTACCTCACTGAAACCAAGCCCACAATGCCGTCGATTCCTTCCTGACATGGTGCTATCCATACTCTGTTGAAACTGAGTCTCCAGCTCATCATTCATTTTCTTATCTTCTTCCCCTATAGGGTTACATATGTTGATTACCACACAGTCAAATAACAAACCCTGAATTTCAATAAAAAAGGAGCAGCATTAGATTTTATCCAACCCACAACAAGAGTTCATTCCTAATGGCATAGGGTCACTTCTCCCTCATTGTTTCTGTCCACTGAGTGCAGAATGGGTGCACAACATTTCTATTAAATTGCCATTTTGTAGGGTCTAGGAAGATAATTTCTCTGGATGCTGGAACAGCATCTGCCCAGATATATGGATGATCTCCATTCACCTGGGGTTTTAAAAAGCCCTTAAACCTAAGCTTTGGTCCCAGGCCCAGGATTAAATATATGTCCGTGGAGGGACCTGATGTGTTGTGGTTTAATGTAGTGTGGATTCCCAGGAGAGAGGGGCTGCATTCCAGAGTACAAAGAACAATTAAGCATAGAAACTTTGGTCGGGAGGAAGAGAGTTTTAAGAAAGCTCCTCCCTTGCTATTCCCAGGGTACATCTATAGTGATGTAGATAGTTGCTTTAGTTTCGCAAAATTTCTCTCTACAGGTGAGGAACAATACAGGAACTGCTCAGAAGCAACTCCGTGTGTCTTTCTTGGTTCTTGGGGCCAACAATGGCTATTTTTAGTGCAGGCTCTTTTGTCTAGGTTTTTAATTGTTTTAACTTAGGGGACAGATAATAATGTATTGAATGAAATAGCAATAAATGTTTGAGGACAAAACTAGAAACCCACTCATAAACAGAACTTTCTGATACCTTTTGCCTAAACAGTACCATGACACTTCAAGGTACAATGAGTCACATACTATTTTGGCACTACTTACACATGGGGGAAATATAGCACTTCAGAGAGCCAATAGCAGTTAGTGGCCAAAAAGATGGCTTTGACCATGAGAAATATCAAATCTACATGGCATATGAGTAAATTAATCAGAAAGGTAAAGTTCCCTAGAAAACATTTGTTTAATTCAAGTGTATAGATGCTTATTCTCCTTCAAAACTTTGGTTCAACTAACCTGTTCTAAAATGAGAAGTTGATCGATGGTCTCCAATAACAAGGCGTCCGGTGTGTTCTTTCTAGAAGAAAGCATATATTATTATTCCAATACAATAGTTCTATTTTTCTATTAAAGACTGATTTATTATGGCATGGACTTTCAAGGTTGCAGGCCATTTGCCCTAAAGCATTATTTGTCAATATTACCATGTTATGTTTCAAATAAGTATCAGGCGACTCTAAGGGAGACTTACATATGCCATTAACCAACCAAATCATACTCGAATTACATAACTCAGCTTTAGATTTTTGTGACCACTGTTGTCCACCTTGAAATGTGGTGCTGTTATAAGTCTGGCTGGCTTCAAAAAAGAGTTGGACCAATTGATGGAAATTACAGGGATCAACAGCTATTCGGCACGCTGTTGTCGGCACGCTTTTGACATCGCGGTTTTAGCGCCACGGTGTTGTCGGCACGCTTTTGACGTTCGCGGTATGTCGTGCCACGGGCGGTGTGATGGTGTCTGAATTTAATGAGAGTCTAGTAGATTTTCTTATGCGTTTGGATGACCAACATAAGAAGAGATTGTTAGACTAGAGGTGTCAGTGATCCAATCCAGAAGGGCAACTACTTATGTTTTTATTTTGCACCACAATTTGTATTTGGGGAATGACATAACACATTGAATAAGCAATTAAAATGATTCTGTCAAAGGAACAACAATAAAAATCTTTTAACATAGCTATCCAGATGCTACTTGCAGCAACGATAATAAACTGAAAGACAAGCCAAATATTCTTATGTTTTTTTAAAGAAAATCCATTACATTGTACTTCCACAAATTCCTTTTGAAAATTATTTACATCCACTTTCATTTCAAATTTTAAATGCCAGTGACCCTGATTTGACTTACATCTCCCACAACATTTGTCCCAGGTTCCACCAAGATATGCTTTAAATATTAATTGCCGGGAAACAAGAATAGAAGAATATGTCAATTTCAGACTGAAAGTGTGAACTTCCTTCCATAAACGAGCTTTTACTAGTGTTACTACTAGTAATATTCTACAGAATTGTAAGCAAGGTTATTAGGTATTACATTGAAACTCTGTGAATTGTAACAATGAATGGGTATAATAAGATTCATTCACTTCACCATACAATTAGTTAATATGTTTTTCCATTCAATCATATGCACTGAAAAAAATGAATTAACTAATATAGAGAGCCAATTTGTTTTCCATTTGTTTAAATGGAAAGCTACAGAGTAGTACTACTTAGTGTTCTTTAAAAACTTAAGTTGTATTAGCTGGGCTATGTTTCACAGATGACTACTTGTATTACTAGAAGTATGAGTACTTTACAATGACATTAAGATGAATGGAAATTGTATTATTGAGGTGGTGTAGGAACCCTGACCTGAAAAGTTAATTCACATAAAGTTGATAGATACAGCAATAAAATTCCATTTAGAAAGATAATTGCAAGATTCTCTGGTCATACACAGTTATACAAAACATCTGATAAAACACCAAATAGGTAAATGTTAATTCATAAGCAAAAAGTATGAAATTCTGGCACAACTGTTCCATCAGGTATTCTGATTCGGGCACATAAAGATTTATGAAATAACCTTTCACTTATACTTCTGAAATTAGGCTTATTAGATGGCGATACTTTAAGAAGAACTTGTATTCTTATAAAAAAAGAGAAAACCAAGCAAATCTGCTTTGAAAGTTGCGCACTAAAAATCCCTTATATAATCATTATACTACTAGGATGAAAGTTAAAATCCTACCTTTCCAGCACCCATCAACCTCAGGAACTTTTGTTTCCTTTCCTCATTACCCAAGTCAGCTGCCTCCCAGCTACCAGCTCCAACCTGAAAAACAAAATATAGTTTTTAGACACATTAAAATAAAAAATCATGCAGTTAGTTTATACAGACAGTATAAATATTTATAGTACAACTTTCATTGCAGCTATAAACATGTAATAAGCTCCATATGGCTGCACCATATTTCCCTATCTACTTCACATAAATGTCAGTTTTTTAAAAAAAATACTGTCATGGGTTGCAAGGAAAATATTCCAATTCTGGATAATATACTTTTAGCAGGCAGTATTAGAGCTTGAATCAACAAAGCTACGTAGTACTGCCTGGCAACAACTTCCTGCTGACACCTTCCATTGACTAATACATATTATAATTCCAAACACAAAATATGGAAATAATGCAAGAAATGGATAATTTCCCTTTTACAAAAGTGGAGGAATAGTGTGAGAGGGAGTAATGCTACTTAGTCAGATAATGCATCTGTAAGAAAATAACCAAGTTCAGAGAATAACAAGAACCCAATAGTTCAACCCTGAGCTATCAATATTCTCTTCAATTGAAATAAAGATAAATCCATCTAAATGAAATTATTAAATGAAAAGCACTCTTTTAATTAATTGAAATACGCCCTTTATTTTCAACCTTGCCAGGAATAGTTATCTTCCACTTTCAACAATGCTGCTATATGACATTACAAAAAGAAGAAACATCTTGTTCCTGTCTGCTCTAAGTCTGTTCCAAAAGTGTGTACCATAGCTTTAGAAGGGATTCTGAAAATAAAAATCATAGAACTTAGCATTCCCATTATGTACAAACATGCACCATATTCAACCTCTGGTAGAAAAAATGTTCTTGGTTATAGATCGCCAAGGTCCAGCAGAGGAAGCCTATTCCAGACCCATATTTATACTAAAATCTACTTGTAGCTATCACATTAACTAAAAACTGGGATGGTACTTCTAAGCTCCTCAAAGTCTGGAAAAGCATGTTTCTATAGGACTCTATAGAAATAATCTATTGCATGTTGCATCTCAGATTTTTCTGTTGAAAATCTGCAATCAACTCCTCCACAATATGCACACTAACCTATTCTGGCAAGTGGATATGCATTTCCACCATGTTCCTCCCCCAACCTTTCTATTTTGCCTCCGCTGTATCAATGTATTGTTTGGACTACTACTTAACCACAAATATTTTTATCCTGCTTTTCAGAAGATTTAATGCCAACGCAGTCTCCAAACTCTCATTCACACTGGGGGAGGAGGCTGTCTGCATCATGCCAAGGCCTTGCTCCTGAAAGGCTGATTCTCAGAGTTTTTCAATGCCCCGATTAATCATGATAGATAATGAAAGCTATCTTAAGAAGCCCAAGGGGGAATCTCTCTCTCTCAATCAATCAATCAACCAACAGGAAAAACTCTCAATTCTTCATTTTTTCCAGGCAGAAACGAGGCTTCCCTTCGAGCACAAATGTGCAAGGAAAGGGCCACCTTCTTGAACCCACTATTATCCAGATGAATCGATTGACAAATGCCGGCGCACCATGGGAGTTGTAATCCCTCCCTTTTGCCCAGCATGGGAGTTGTAGTCCTTCACTCCTGCAGAAGGACTGGTTGAAGCGAGAGTGGGTTGAACCAGCCTATGTATAGCAGAGGGAACAAATCCTCCTACAGAACCGGGAAGAGGGACCCAAGGAATCCTTGCCATCACCTCTTCCTTCTTACACGGAAGAAATGATGGGAAGAGGATCCCCCTTTTCTTCCACCGCCGGCCCAAGAGTCCCTCCTGCCCTGATCCCCACCTTCCAACTCCCCCGCCCCGCAGCGCCCAACTTCTCCCTGCCCTTATTCACATCAGGGGAGGCCGGCCGCTTCACGCCGTGGCCGTGCTCGGGTTTGGACTCCTTGGTGGCGCTCATCTTCCCGACGGGCGACCACCGTCCTGTGAACGGCCGCTTCCCGGCCCTTCCGCTCCTGCTGCTGCTCCTGCCGCCAACCCTGCCTCTTCCTTCTCGCCTTCTTGCAAGATTTTACACAGCGCAAGCGCGAGAGAAGGAAGGGGGGGAAAAAAACCACACTTCGGCGGCGCAGGTCAACCGAGGGCTCTCGGGAGTTGTAGTTCTCTCGCTAAGAAGCGGGGAAACGTTCGCGGTGGAACATCTCGGAAAGGCAGAAACTCCAATTCCCGGAAGCCTCTGTGGCATGGAGCTGGGGAGGTCTTTCTTCGCCGTTCGTCGCGCTCCTCCGGTCACTTGTGGTTGGTTATAAAAATTAGGCGGGCAGGAAATTTGATCAGCGATTGGTCCCTGAAAAACATCTCGGCCTCCCCCCCCCCCACCTCCCGCCTTTATTCAGGGGCTGAGTTCATTTTTGCCTCTCGCTCCTCAATTCAAAGTGTAGCAAAAATGTGTAGCTAGGATTAGCTAGTAGCATTTTGCTTGGAAAAAAATAACACAATAACGGAGATGGAAGGGACCTTCGGAGGTCTTCTAGTCCAACCCCCTGCTCATGTAGGAAACCGTGTACCATTTCAGGCAAATGGTTGTCCAATCTCTTCTTTAAAGAGATTGTGGGTGTTGGAATACCCACAACTTCTGGAGGAAAGTTGTCCCACGGATTAATTGTTCTAACATTCAGAATATTTCTCTTCAGTTCTAGGTTGGTTCTCCCCTTAATTAGTTTCCACCCATTGCTTCTTGTTCTACCCTCAGGTGCTTTGGAGATAGATTGTGCTATAAAATAATTTTACCTTTGTCTTCTAGTCCTGTCTGAGGCTTAAGAAGGAAAGCACTTTGTCATGATACTGTATGCAACTGGTACAGAATAATCAAGATTATGTATTTTTCCCTATAGTTCAGATGCAATAATTAGGAAACTCATTGCTGTGAAAGATAACATCCCAGCAATGAAATTGATTTACACATTGTAGTGGAAGCGACATTAAATTCAAATCAATAGATTTGATCATTATTCAGAATAATGTAAGAGTAATGCTAAAGTTTCAAGTTGCAAAAATCCAAACAGCAACCTCACTTAGACATTTATGCATCTAGAGGTCGCCTGAAATTTTGCTTCCCAGGTATTGATGTCCAGCTCAATGCAGGAGTTAATGTAGTGTGCAATCTCCTGAATTTCCCAAAGGTGCTTTTTCAAGAAGCAATTGAATTTTCTGGTTTTTCTTTGAAGACATTTCACTTCTCATCCAAGAAGCTTCTTCAGCTTCTTGTATTCTTCAGCTGAGAAGCAAAACGTCTTCAAAGAAAAAAACAGAAAGTCCAGTTGCCTCTTGAAAAAGCACTTTTGGGACAACCATGACCTGGATGATTGAGAATCTCCATAGACAATCTCCTGAATAGATTGTGGATATTGTGCAATTTAACAGTTTTTCAGCAAATGTTAAAAGATCCAACAAAAGTTTGGAAGTTAGTATTGAGAAAGTATAGTACTGACCAATTTTTTTTATCTGATTTGCTCCCTTTTCTACACTGCACCTCCAGTTTGCCTCAGTGTTTAACTATGACAAAGCCATGAATATGAAATTAAAGACAACTCGAAGCTGACTTCCAATCTTGTGTTGTCCAATTGTATGGTTGATTGTTGAACTGTATGATTTAGCAGAAAATTATTTGCAGTTTATAGAAATAGGTATTTTCATAAAATAAAATCCTCTGGGTGACTTATAATATATAAATCTAAAAATTAATCTAGAAAAAATATATAAACTGGGAAAACCAGGAAAGCAGTGTAAAATGCAAAACCAAAACTCAATCCCCATTAATAGAAATAAATATTTAAAACAGAAGTTCAACATTCACAAGTAAATCAGTATGTCTACTTTTACAGTGTTATGGAGAGTTTTGAAAACAAGGCTGCCTTATTCCTCAGAAAGGACTGAATAAAGTGGAACATAATCTCAGGATACACTGTTGTGAACTGGAACTCTCAAGCCTTAATTTTTTTTTTTCTGGTGAGTGGAAACATTTATCTATTGATTTATAGTTTATATATTTATACTGCCATAATTTCCAGCAGTTCCAAGAGAAAATCATGCACAGGAATAGAAAGTGTTGTAAATGATAACAAAGATTGGACTTTTTCCAACATAGAGTGGGTTTGTCAAAAAAAATGGAATTTTAGGCACAAATTCATATAACGATGCAAAAGATAGTACGGATTAATATTATAATGGAGGCAGAATTATTTTTATTGGATTTTCCTGATGCTGAACTAGACAAAAATATAGGAAACTAACTTATATAGTGAAACAAGGTTACTGTATGTACAAAGATGAAAGAATAATGAGATACTCGTAGTAGAGAATTGGATCATAAAACTGACAAAACTTGTGGAAATGGCAAGGCTGACCAGTTTGGTCAGGTAAAAACCAATCAGGTTTTTTTTTTAAGTTTGGCAACCTTATATGGACTTTTTGCTGAAAGAATAAAATACAGAAACTGAAGTTTTATAGTGTGGGGGGCTTAGTAAAGGTCAAAGAGGGGAGGGAAAGGATAAAATGGCAATTACTTCATAGAAAGAAGAGCAGGAGTAAAAATATTCTGTTTTATTTCTTTTTTCCCATTTTCATTTTATTTATTTTATTTCATCAAGCATGAATTATAACAGATATAAGTATAAACATGATTATGAATACATGAAATAAATACGAATATAAGGAAATGTTAGAACAGGGATGGTAGGCATCCTGGTGCGCTTAAATATCTCTTAAGAATTGGCTGAGATCGATAGTAGACAGTCTAAGGTTAAATGAAACTGTTTCTTTTTCTTTTCATTTTTTATACTTTTATTGTATTGTAAATTCTAATATATACATATTAGATGTTATAGTATATAACATCAGCAGAGCAATAATTTTCCCCCCCTAAAAATTAGACATAAAAGCAAAAGATAGAAATAACTGTACCTATGGCAAACTCATTCTCCAAGTGGTACAAAGTTACAGGTTTCCATCTGCCTGTTACCATGTGAGTCCAGGAAGACCCTCAAGTTCTTTTGAGAGAGCACCACATCATCCAGCGTTACTATCAGACTTCTTTATCAACCGCTTGGACTGGAAACAGTGAATCCCATGAAACAATCTATCAGAGAGATCTGCACAAATTCCAGCAAGTACTGCATTTTCAAATGAGACACTCTTTGCATAGGCAAATGAAGCTGGTAAAATACCTGTTCTTTCTCTGTGAGTATGTGTGCTTTTTTTTTTGGTGTAAAGGTTCCATTCATTTATTTGTTTGTTTATTTAATTTATATGCTGCCCATCTTGCTATCGAGAGTGAGTGGTTTTGCTGCTTCTGGGAAGGCAGAGCTTGTTAGATTGTTTTGAATTGTTTTGATTTTTCACATTACCTCCCATTTTTAGTCCTTTTCTCCTTTCTTCCTTTCTTACCCCCTCTTTTATGTATTTCCGAGTCATGAAAGGGTGAAATTTCCCTTTCTTTTCGAAGCACAGACGGGGTGGGTCTTCAACAGCTCAACACCCTGACCGGGGAATTCAATTCTGTAACCCTCTCTCCATGGTCCAAGTTACCTGCAGGAAGAATGAGCTAGGAAATAATCTATGTAGCTTATGAATCAGGGAAAGACAGAGCAATGAACTTCCAGTTCAGATTGAGAGGCAGGCATTCTTTTCCATCTCAAAAACCTGTTCTGAAGATAATCTATTGCCACTCTGATTGTCACGGTGTGGACTTGAACACGACTTTGTATCTTTGCTCTACCATATTGACTTTTATCTTTCTATAGGTGCGTTTTCCTGCCAGTTTATCTCCTAGCGGTACCCAGTAAACCAAGAGCCATCCAACAGAGAAAGGTTGTACCAATAGAAGAGGAATATATGTAGCTCATGGTTAAACTGTGGAGTCCTTGGTGCTTTCTAAGTTTTTTTTTCCTTGCATGCATTTCAATACCCAACTAGGTAACATCATCAGTGCTGGTGAACATGGCATTTGCTGCCTGTTTATATACATTGTACAGTAGCTTGCCCTGCCAATGCGGGTGGGGGTTTGGTTTTCTCCTTGGTAGTTCTTAATCTTTATCCCAAGGCTGCATGGCAACAATCCTGTCAAATACGCTGGCCATTTCCTGATTCCAGGAGTAAGCCAGATATCAAACAAAACTGCCGAAGACTCTTCCAGGGCCCTTTGGAATCCACCCAGATCCATTTAGTTCCTGGTGTGGACCATCTTAATGGATCTATAGACAAGTGGAAGAAATGAGCAGCACTGAATCTCATCTGGAATGATCTGACCATGACAAAAGACTCAATCTAGTGTACTCTATGTCCATATCGCACGTATCTGCTCCTTTTAAAGTTAGTGGCATATCAAACATGTACAAAATGCAGTTGGTAAAATAAACTTATCTGACCCTGCTAGTTATTGATTTTGTGCACCTAAATTGATTGGCTACAAATTCAAGATAAACCTAACAAATGAGCCAAAGTGGCGCAGTGGTTAGAGCAGTGTTTCTCAACCTTGGCAACTTGAAGATGTCTGGACTTCAACTCCCAGAATTCCCCAGCCAGCATTCACTGGCTGGGGAATTCTGGGAGTTGAAGTCCGGACATCTTCAAGTTGCCAAGGTTGAGAAACACTGGGTTAGAGTACAGTAATGCAGGCTACTTCTGCTGACTGCCAGCTGCTTGCAATTTGGCAGTTCAAATCTCACCAGGCTCAAGGTTGACTCCTTCCATCCTTCCGAAGTTTGTAAAATGGGGACTACCTGTTCTGTGGGTTTGGCTTGGTGGGTGTGGCAGGGGAAGGATACTGCAAAATCTCCATTCCCACCACACTCTGGGGCCAGCCAGAGGTGGTATTTGCTCGTTCTCTGAACTACTCAAAATTTCTGCTACCAGTTCTCCAGAACCTGCTGAATTTCACCCCTGATGGGAGTCTCCATTGCTTTCCTTCCACTGCATCATATTGTTGAATCTTCTGTAAATCTCAGTGGAAGAACCTGCTACAAAAAACTGACCCAAGAACGTATTCTAACTAGTGC